GCGCGATTCCCAAGTAATCCGCGCAAGAGAACCAGAACGAGAGCGTGATTCGTGAGCGCCGAGGGCGCATCGTCGGAATGAATGGAGAGGAAATCCCACGCGAGAGCGCGAATTGTGAGGAGGTCACGCGCGAGAGCGCGATTCTTCAGTACATTGCGAGGAAGTATCAGGCGGGAACCGCTATTGTTGTAGTTCGGGGGCCAGGGGCGCAGCTTGAAGCGGAAGATTCCCCATGCAAAAAAAACAAGGTGCGAGCCTCATGAGGGGCATTTTTAATTGAAGAGCGCATATGTTACAGGAAGTGGGCGTTCAACAATCATTGTTACTCGGGAATTACAGTTCAACAACAACAGTCATGTTAAGGCTGTTCGCTCTGATCTGCTCGCGTGCCAGTCAACACGCATATCCTGAACTCTAGACTCTCGATGCCCGCTTTCATCGTCTTCGATTGATCGTGCCCCCATGAAGGCCATACCTGTCTTACATGCAACGTGCATGTCGTGCAGCCCCCAAGGCAGGGGGAACGAGGACGGATGGAAGGAAGGAGCAACGGGAAGGCGGGTTGCCGACACGTGCGTCCTGCATCCGTCGCAGGGAAGTCTCGAACAAAAGCGCGAACCCCAAAGAAATCGTGAGGAAGCCCACAGCTGCAGCGTGATTCCTGTGTGTGTCGAACGCGCGGCGTCTGAATAGATTGCGACGAAGTCCCGCGCGGCGGCGCGATTCCTGTATAAGTTGTGAAGACGTCCCGCGCGAGACCGCGATTTCGGAATATATTGTGAGGAAGCAGCAGGCATGAGCCGTTGTTGTTGTAAACCGGGGGCCAGGGGCGCAGTTTGGTGACCCTTCGGTTTCCCTTGTAAAAAAAAGTTGCGAGTTCCGGGAGAAGCATCTCAATTTAAAAACTACAGCGGTTACCGGGCAGGGGGAATAAAACAAATGTTCTTTAGAATTGAAGACTCGACAACAGCAACAACAACAACAACACTAACAACAATAACAACAACAACAACAACAACAACAACAACAACAACAACAACGACGACAATTATTTGACCCTCATGCGCGATGTTTCCACACGAAGCATGCGACCATCATGATAACCATCCCCCTCATGGGGGGGACTATTGTTTTATAGCGGGGTCCAGTTTTCCAATTCCCAAATCTCCCGCCCAATGAGGTCTTGCAAACATTTCCCCCGAGGAATTTCGACATATCCCGCCACGAAAACGCGTGCCCGCGTTTTGCTGGGCCGATGCGAGACCACCAGTGGAGCCCCAGCCAAGGGTAAAGCACGAGGAAGTATCGAGCGACAGGATTGCTTGGTGGGGATGGGGGCTGTCGGCGGCGAGGCAAGGGCGCTAGTCCGTCGTAAAACGAAACGAATTCTCGAGCCGGAACGGTGGTTTGTTGGGACGGCGGTTGTCGGCGGCGAGGAGGAACAGCGCCTTGAGTAAGAAGGGAGGAGGTCTCGAGAGGGAGCCGTGGTTCTGTTGGGACGGGGTCTGTCGGCGGCGAGGAACAGCACTGTCTTGAGAAAAAAGGAGGAAGCCTCGAGCAGGAGCGTTGTTCTTGCTGGGAGCGGCGCCAATTCAAAAGAGAGTAGGGCGCCAGTCCAGCGTAAAACGGGAGGAAGTCTCGGGCGGGAGCGCTGGTTTTGTCGGGGCGGCGGTTTTCGGGGGCGAGGAGGACACCGCCTTGATAAAAAAAGGAGGAAGCCTCGAGCGGGAGCGTTGTTGTTGCTGTGGGCGGCGCCGATGAGAGAAAGAGTAGCGCGCCAGTCCAAGGTAAAACGGGAGGAAGTCTCGAGCGGTAGCGCTGGTTTTGTTGGGACGGCTGCTTTCATCGGCGAGCAGGAGCACCGGCCCTGAGTTAAAAATGAGGAAGTCTTGAGCGGGAGCGCTGTTGTTGATGGTGGGGCCGTTTTGGCGCCCGCCCAAAACGCTTGAGCGTGAGCCTCATTTTCAATGAGAATGTAGCCGGCGCCGAGGCGAGAGCGCCAAAGCGCCTGGGAGGGGTCCAACAATATTCATTTTTTAATACTCAACATTCAACAACAGCCAATTAAACATTGTTTGCTCTTACACGCTCGCGCGCCACTCAACACGTATACGGTGGGGGGCGTTGGTTATGGAATGTGCCCAGGAGGCTTCAGATCCTGGAGGGTTCCTTCTCTGATGAGGGCGGTGGTAACATCCTTGGGCAATTCACGAATGGGGCTTTACTGGCTCCCAGACTTTGGCCGCAGAAAAAACTCCTTGCACGCACTGGCCCTTTGGCCCTCGAACAGCAAAACAAAAACAAATGCCTTCACCGTGTTCCAAACCCTCGGTGCCCGCCTTTTTTGTCTTCGAATTTTTTCCCTTGTACCTTTATTAGCTGCCATGTGTAGCCGGCGCAGCACGTAAAACAAGGAGGAAAGAGGACGGAAGGAAGGGGCAGGGAGAAAATGGAGCACGGGAGAGATTAGCAGGAGGGGTGCCAGGAACAGAAAACACGTGTCAGAACCAGACGGGCTGATCCGGCGGGTAGACCCTAACAGGCTGGTCGGGAAGGCGAGAGCTGGACTGACCTGGGCTTGGGCGCAGGATCCTGCAAGATTTTATGGGTCCTGCAGAGCCTGACTGACCCGGGTCTGGATTCATCCGGGTCAGCGAGACACAATACAATGGTTACCAGGGGGGGATATCAGCATTAATTGTTTTTAATGACAATTCAACGAAACAACAACGAAAGAATTGTCCGCACCGCAGATCCCCCACATTCAGCCACTCACCCAGGGGCAGTGAATGACCGTTCGGCCCCTTCACTCTGATCGACACCCATTGCAGGAAAAAATTCAAGAAATGTCCGCAATTTTCGTGGACTCTACATTTCGTTTAAGAAAATCCAGAATCTGGACTGGACCCTGGGCGTTTTCGTGGAGCTTCTCTTATCGTAGAGCTTTCGCATGTCCTGGACCTGGACTGCTGTGTCAGAAACGGTTGGGGTGAAGACCATCCCCTCCTTCGCGTAACATTCTCTTAACTCTGAGCGGGGGTGTACACAGACACCCTCCAGTGGATTGGTCCTGGGCATCACAGGGGAGGGCGGTGGTGCACCAATCACCTGCAAGGGCCAACGATTTCGCACACCGCCGCCCTCCCTTGAAGGCACGAGCAACACTCGTCGGCGGGCGTTTGTGTAGCGCATATATATATATATATATATATCTATATATATATACACACACATAGAAAAGGGGGACCGAGCCCGGCCCCCCGGCGACCTCTACCGCAAGTGGGTGTGTGCAGGTCCCTGGGGGGGGCCCGGAGGCCCACAAGACGCCACCAGAAAGCGCCCAAGAGAGCCCGAGGACGCGCCAAGGAGGGACCTGCGACGCCCACAGGCCGCTCCAGGACGCACAGGCCGCTCCGAGGCGCAAAAGATGGCCCCCAGACACCCCAAGAGGCCTCCCAGGCGCCTCCTGTGACGCTCCCAGAGGCCCCCCAGGAGGACCCCAAGGGGCAGAATTCGCTCCATTCCCTTAGGGGAGCGTATATCTTTCGCATATACATCTACATATCTATATATATATATATATATATATATACACACACACCTCTTTGGCTTGCACAGCGTCGAAGACGGCCCAAGAGGCCCCCAAGACTGCCCCACAGGCTCCCAAGAGGGCCCCAAGACGACCCCAAGAGGGTCCCGAGACGGCCCGAGAGGCCCCCAAGACAGCCCAAGAGAGCCCCAGGACAAGCCCAAGAGTGGCCCCAGAGGTGCAAAACCATATTCAAAGTCCGAGCTTTCGGCCCGAGAGGCCCCCAGAAGGCCCAAATAGGTCCCCAGGAGCCCCCAAGAGGCCCCAAGAGGCCCCCAAGAGACCCCCAGGAGGCTCCCAAAAGGCCTCCATGAGGCCCCCAGGAGGGCCCCAAGAGGCAACACGTGCTTCACTTCTTTAGGGAAACGTATATTATTCGCATATATACCTCTTTGGCTTTCACAGCGTCCAAGATGGCCCAAGAGGCCCCCAAGACTGCCCCACAGGCGCCCAAGAGGGCTCCAAGACGACCCCAAGTTGGTCCCAAGACAGCCCGAGAGGTTCCCAAGACCAAGACAGCCCAAGAGAGTCCCAGGACGAGCCCCATTCAAAGTTCGAGCTTTCGGACCCAGAGGCCCCCAGGAGGCCCAAGGAGGTTCCCATGAGGCCCCAAGAGGCCCCCAAGAGGCCCCACGAGGCCACCAAGAGACCCCCAGGAGGCTCCCAAAAGGCCTCCAGGAGGCCCCCAAGAGGCCCCAAGAGGCAACATTCGCCCCATCCCCTCAGGGAGGCGTATATTTGTCGCATATATACTTATTTGGCTTTCGCAACGTCCAAGTCGGCCCACCAAGAGGCCCCCAAGACTGCCCCACAGGCTCACAGGAGGGCCCCAGGACGACCCCAAGAGGGCCCCAAGAGGCCCCCAAGATGGCCCAAGAGAGCCCCAGGGCGAGCCCAAGAGGGGCCCCAGAGGTGCACAACCATATTCAAAGTCCAAGCTTTCGGACCCAGAGGCACCCAGGAGGCCCAAAGAGGTCCCCAGGAGGCCCCAAGAGGCCCCCAAGAGGCCCCCAAGAGGCCCCAAGAGACCCCCAAGAGACCCCCAGGAGGCTCCCAAGAGGCTTCCAGGAGGCCCCCAAGAGGCTCCCCAAACTGCCTCGAAGACGCCCTCGAGAGGCCTCTACTTATTTTATATATTCACATATATATAATATATAATATAATATAATATAATATAATATAATATAATATAATATAATATAATATAATATAATATGATATAATATATATATATATATACATATATATATATATATATATATATATATATATATGTCCAGTTTTGAAACGTGAAGCGGAGCCTGGTGGAGAGAGAGCGCCGCACTCATCTGTTGCCTGCCCCGCTGGCATCGGGCTCAAAGTGCAAGCCGACGGCACTTCGATGGCCTTCGCCGCATGGCTGGCGGGCGAGGCGGTGCACGGTGCTGGGCAAGCAGCGCTGCTGTGGGCGGCTCGCGGTGAGTGCCCGGCCTGCACGTGTGCGCCGGCCCTCACTTGCGCCCCAGGCCAGGAGGTGGCGCGCCTGGACTGCCCGGGCGGACCCCCGGGGTGGGCGCTGTCCGCGGTGGCCCTCGCTGGCGTGACCGGCTTCGCTGGGGGTCTCCTGGCCGCGCGGTGGCTGGGCGCCTGGCAACCGATCGGTGGCTCCCCTCTCAAGCCGTCCTTGGAGGAGGAGGCTAGAGCGCAGGCTGCCATAGCCAGAGCGCGGGCCTCCGCCTCGTGATGGCCAGCTCAGCCGCCGCTGCGGCGGCAAGTGGACACCCGCTGGCCTTGGAGGGGCTCGACGAGGGCGACTTCATCCATGTGCTGTATCGTGTGGGAGGCGCTCGGATCTGGCACGAGCGATTGATACTGGCCTTTCAGACGGTGCCGCCCTTCGGGACAGGGATCATGACTCCCGATGGTCACGCGTGCGTGGAGGCCATCATGCAGAACGGCGCGGACATCAGGGAGTACGCGGTCCCCGCCGGCGCCTCAGCGGGCGCCGTAGCGGCCACCTCAGCTGGTGACCAGGTCTACCGCTTCCGTGGTCTCCCTCTTCCTGGTGACGTCGCGACGGGTGCCGCCTCTGTTCGAGGCACTCTTGGGCTGGGTGCGGGACCGCCGATCGCGCTGAACACGGCAGGGCGTGTCATCGCGGCTGCGGTCGGCGTCCCGGCTGGCGCTGGGCCCGCGGCTGCCCCCGCTGCTGGCGATGCCGGTGGCGCTCCTGGGGATCTGGGTGGTCCGGCAGGGCTAGCCGCAGCCCTTGGGGGCGGCCCAGCGGCCGCGCCAGCGGGCGCATCCGCCCTTGCACCAGCGGCGGCAGCGCCAGCACCTGCGGCAGGAGGTGCTCCAGTTGGCGCGCCTTTTGGCGGAGGAGGGGCGCCCCCAGCCGCTCCAGGCGCTCTCGGCGGCGCCGCCGTGGCCGCGCCTGCACCTGGGCCCGCCGCCGCCCCTCCGCCTGCTGTGGGCGGTGGCCTTGGCCCTGGTGGAGTGGCCGCAGCATTGGCTGCCATCGCCGGCGCTCCTGGAGGCGACGCTCGGATTCAGTCGGTGGCTTTCGACGCGCAGGGGGCGAGGCACGTGGACTTTCGAGCTGCAGCGGTTCGCCTACACGAACTACCTTGGGGCGACTGGCCCCTCAAAGGGCCCCGCGCGCTGTTATGGGCGCTGAACTTCATCTGCCGCAACGGGGGTGCTCCCCTCGGCAGGCGCACGAAGTGGGCCTCAGAGGGGTACCTTGAAGCCGACGATCCTGGGGTCGATACCCACCTGCTGCGCTGCCGCCTCCTCGAGCTGGGCGTGGTCTACGACCAGCTCCACGTGACTAACATCGCTGCCATGGAGTTGGTTGGTCGGACTCTCCAGACCCAGGAGGAGCTGTACCGAGACAGGTTCGCCGCTGCCTCGGAGTTCGGCTCAGACGCAGCTCTGATGTCGGGTGCTCTGGACGCAGGCGGGAACGCGTGCGCGGCGCCGGCTCTGAGGGACTGGTTAGCCGCAGAGAAGGCACGCGAAGCCAACATAGCCAAGGAGCGGCGCAAGGCGCGCGAGGAGCGGTTCCTCGCAGCTGGCGGCAGCTCTGGCGGCGGTGGCGGCAGCGATGGCCGAGGGCGCGGCCGCGGCCGCGGCCGCGGACGCAGCAGAGACGGCGGGAGGGGCGGCCGCACAGCCCCAGACAGCAATGGCTGAGAAGCACCGGGGGGAGGCATTTGGGCCAGCCTCTCCCTGGGACAGGAGTGCGGCTTCAGCCGCAGGCCCTGGCACGCGTGGAGGACTTCGTCACCGCGACGTCTTCCCGCTGCCGATCCCCGCTGGTGCTGCTCGCCCACCCCCAGCGCCAGGAAGTCGCCGCTCGGCTAGGCGTGCTGGGTATCGCCTTCATCGTGAGGATAGGGTTCGCTCGGCCGCCAGCGCACTCAATTCACTTTATGGTTCTCGGTCCTCGCCTCCTGCTGTGGCTCACGAGGGGCAGCGCCAGGCCATCATGCACATCTCGGACAGCATCGACGAGCTTGGACGCCCGCCGTCAGAGTTCATGTCTGGTACCGCTGCCGAAGACGGAGCCCTCAGGGAGCTCCTCTCCTGCGCCAACCTGCCCCGGCCTGCCGCACACCGTCGGCCTCTTCTTCGTTCCCAAGAAGACGGGGGCCCTCCGCATCATCTTCGATACGAGGGCCGCCAACTGCAAGTTTTTAGATGCGCCCAGCACTCGGCTACCCTCGGCCTCGGCTTTCAGTTCGATCGAGGCGCCGATCGAAGGCATGTACATGTCGACTTGCGACCTGGAGTGTGCTTTCTACCACATGAGGCCCCCAGCGGGCATGGAAGAGATGTTCACCCTGCCACCGATCAAGGCGGGGGTGCTTCAGGAGCTCGGCCTCATCGACCTCGATTTCGACCCGTGGGCGTCGCTCTCGCCCCAGGTCCTGGTGCTTCCCATGGGCTTTTCGTGGGCGCTGCATCTGTGTTAGGCTGCTGCTCGCACTGTGCTTTCGGACGACGGCCACTCTCTGGATCAGACCGCTCAGGATGGTCAGCTTGGGGTTAACGTTGTCAAGAACAGTGCCGTGGGGGTTGCCGCCTACGTCGATAACATCCTCGTCTTCGGCGGCAGCCAATCCTTGGTGGATCAGACTATGGCAAGGCTGGTGAGCACCTTCAGGAGTCGCGGGCTTCCCGTTCACGAGATCGAGCCCGCTGCCTTAGATGCCGACTTCCTCGGTCTCAGCCTCCGCGGTGGAATATTTCTTCGCATCAAGCCTCGTAACATTTGGAGACTTCATTTCGCGATCTCAAGTTTGTTAAGGCGTGGATGGTGCTCAGGACACATGCTTCGGGCGGTGCTTGGTCACATCACGTGGACGTCTATGATCCGCAGAGAAGTGCTCACCGTGCTGCACAGCTCCTATGGCTATGTCGGTGCCTTCGGCCCGAGGCACGGCAAGCTTTGGCCCTCAGTGATCAGGGAGCTCATTATCATTAGAGATTTGCTCCCGATTTTGACTTGCGACCTGTCCGCAGAGTGGCGCGCCGTGATGACGGCCAGCGACGCCTCTCCCTTTGGCCTGGGCGTCATGCGACGTCGGGCGCCTGCTGCTACATGTGCTGCTGTTGGGCGGTACTCGGAGCGGTGGCGCTACAAGGTCGAGGGCGGGCGCCAGGCTCGCGCTCGGTCGCTCAAGGCAGGGGAACTGGTGGCCGACGAGGGGCCGGGCGAGAATAGACAAAGTCCGCCCTCTCTCTCTCTCTTTCTCTCTCTCTCTCTCTCTCTCTCTCTCTCTCTCTCTCTCTCTCTCTCTCTCCATCTCTCATGCCAAGGTCCGACGATAGCTGGGGCTACTCTGTGGAGCACCTGGGCAGCTCGGGGACTCGCGCGTTGAAGAATCCAGAGGACATCCAGGAGGCCAACACCTTGGGCGTCTACGGTATGGACTTGGGCGTCCCGGTGGAACTCAACATGACCAAGGCCTTGAGGATCAGCACGGACCCTTGGGAGCTCGACGAGGTACCTGGGCACATTACACGGAAAGAGGCCTGGAAAAGTGTCAGCGCACAGTCGGTGTCTCTGGGGGCCAATATTCTTTACCTGGAGGGCGAGGCCTTAGTCACGTCGTATCGGCACCTTCTTCGTAACTTGGGCAGTCACGGCAAACGTGCGGTAGCCTTAGTCGACAATTTGCCTTTGGCGCTTTCTTGTGCAGAGGGGAGGGCCCGCTCGAGTTTCTTGAGGTCATGTCTCAACCAGTTGTGCTGTCTATCGTTAGCCACAGGCTCGAGGCTTTGTGTACGCTGGATCGCTTCAGAAAGGAACCCATCAGACTCGCTCAGCCGTGGGAAGCTGGGCTGGTTCAGCGGGCACCGTCATTTGAGTGATGCTCGGACGCGTGGCCGGCGGCTGCTTCGCCCTCTTCGCCATGCTCTGGCTGATCACGAGGGCGGAGGCGATGCCGCGGCGGGGATCGCGCACCCCTTCGGCCTCGACGAGACACCGCGCCCGTCTGGCTGCCATGGCCGCGGGCGGGCGCACCAGCACTCTGGCCATGAGCCTTCTGGAGCAGCTTGCGGTGAGACCGAACACAGAGGCCTTCTGGCAGCTGCTGCACAGTTTCGTGAGCTACTGTGCGGACCACCACCTGGACTGGAGCACCTTGTGCCAGCTGGACTCGATCCTGGCGGAGTACTTCACCGCGCGCTACCTGGAGGGAGCCGCTGCGAACGTCGGGCCCCAGACGATTGCAGCCATCTCGCATTTTACCCCAGGACTCCCGAGGCAGATGGGCACCGAGCTGCCGAGGGCCTCCCGTGCTATGCAGGCATGGAAGCGGCGCACGCCCGCTTTGACCAGGCTCCCGATCCCACGGGCTGTGATGTTTGCCCTCTGTGGGATGCTGATCGCCTGGCAGCAGCCTCAGATGGCAGCTTGGTTGGCCATCAGCTTCTCGGCGTACCTCCGACCTGCCGAGGCACAGAGGCTGACGACCGACAGCATCGTGCAGCCGTCGATAGGCGCGGGCGCCGCGCATCAGTTCTGGGGCCTCCTGCTGCACCCCGCAGACCGCGGCCAGGGCGGGAAGACGGGGTCGTTCGACGAGTCGATCCTCTTCGATCTCGACCTGTACCTCGTGCCAGTCCTCATGGCTCTCCGCCTGAAGGGGCCTGCCGCGACGCCTCTGTGGGGTTTCAGTCTGGGCCAGCTGAACCAGATGTTCACTCTTGCTGCAACGGCTCTGGGCATCAACCACCTGCGCCCCCACCTGTACGGGATGAGGCACGGCGGAGTGAGCGACGACCTCTTGACGCAGAGGCGATCGATGGAACAGGTGTTCCGCAGGGGCCGCTGGGCCGTCATGTCGTCGACGCGGCGCTGCGCGAAGGAGACGGCTCTTCTACGCGAGCTTCAGGGCGCGGCGGAGGACGTGTACGCGCTCGGCCACCTCGTGGAGGGGCGATTTTGCGAGCTGCTGGAGATGGGCTTCATCAAAAGCGGTTGCCTCGCCCAGGTGCCCTCCCGGCTGGCGGAGGCGATGCAGCTGGGCGCCCCAGCGCGCGGCCGGCGGGCTCGGAGGAGGCCCGCAGCGGCGGCGCAATGAGTGCTACGGGCGATGCCGTCCGACAGCACCTGAGGCGGCGGTTCAAAGAGGCAGTGCAGCGGGGTTCGCTTTGTCGCAGGCGCGTTGTGTTAGAGCTGTTCAGCGGTTCGGGCCACCTCACCGCCGCCGTGCGCCGACTCGGCCTTTCGGGTCTGGGGCTCGACATCAGGCAGGGGCCTCTCGAGGACCACCTCGATGCCACCTTTGAGGAGGTCATCGTCGGATGGCTTTGTAGCTACTCAGTCGCCGCTGTCTTTCTAGGGAAGCCCTGCACCACCTGGTCGCGGGCCCTCAGGAGACCCCTGAGATCTCGCGACCGCCCCATGGGCCTCCATCAGTTGAGCACCTCCGAGAGAGCCCGCTTGCAGCAGGGCAACGCTTCTTTTGCTTTCACGTGCCGCATCATCAGACTGTGCACTCGTCTTGGGAGTTCTGTGATGTTGGAGAATCCAGCAGGCTCTTTGATGTGGTATGCGCGTTCGCTGTCTCGGCTCGTTCACTTACCTTGTGCGCGTAGTTGTGATCTTGACCAGTGCCAGTATGGTTCCCTCTGGCGAAAGCGCACGAGGATCGTCTCTTGGCACGCTGGTCCTATAGAATCCTTATGCCGCGTGTGCCAGGGGAAACGCGGGCTGTGCTCGCGCACGGCCAACAAGCACGTAATTATGTCTGGCCAAAGCCCTGCTGGTTGTAAGTACACTGCCCTCGCAGCTGCATATCCAGCTGCCCGCGCCAATGCTCTCGCTAATGTAATCAAGCGCGCGGTGCTCAAGGCGCCACAGCAAGCAATGGCTAGTCTGGTCAGCAAGTAGCGTGCTTCCGAGACTTCTCGCCTCAGCATCGAAGTGCCTTTTTACTTTCCGGCCGCCTCTGCTACTCTGTCAGTTGCGGCCAGATCTTCCTGTGGGGTTCGGGAAGTCTCCTTCTGGTCGGACCTCTGTGCAGTCTGCTCCGTCGCCCAGCTGCTCGCCGGGAAATTATCTCGTGGCAGTCTTTTACTGCCCTAGCCTGGCTCGCGCTCGACACATACAGTACAAAAAGTGACAGAGCCCCATCTGTCCTCAGGCCCTGTTGGAGGCTCGGAAGGTCCTTGTTCTGGTCCAGCTCTGGCGCTCGGAATCCTCGAGGCGGGCTGTCCAGTTTTGAAACGTGAAGCGGAGCCTGGTGGAGAGAGAGCGCCGCACTCATCTGTTGCCTGCCCCGCTGGCATCGGGCTCAAAGTGCACCCACCCACGTGCCGCCCTGGCTCTTTTTTCTCGCCCGTATATCTAACTTGCTGCTCTTCTCGGGGAAGTCTCCTTCTGGTCGGACCTCTGTGCAGTCTGCTCCGTCGCCCAGCTGCTCGCCAGGAAATTATCTCGTGGCAGTCTTTTACTGCCCTAGCCTGGCTCGCGCTCGACACATATACATATACATATACATATACATATACATATACATATACATATATATATATATATATATATATATATAGATGTGTGTGTGTGTGTCCACACCCCCCTCCAAGATCAACTTTTTTACGTGTCCTGATGAAGTCATCCCCTCTTCCTCCTCCTCCTCCTCCTCCTCCTCCTCCTCCTTCTCCTCCTCCTCCTCCTCCTCCTCCTCCTTTCTTCCTCATTATCTTCCTTCCCCTCCGTTGCCCCCCTCCTCATCGCTCCCACTTGCGTCGCTTGCCCGCGGTGAGTATGGAGCGCAGATGAAGCGCATCTACTGCGCGGGGTATTCGAAGTTACCAGCGCCCCCAAACTACAGCTGACGGAAGAGAAGGAGGGGCGTAACGTTCCAGATCACCTAGGGGGCGCAATGCTCCAGCCAGATGCGGGGCGAAATGCCCCAGGGGGCGCAATGCCCCAGACCACGTAGGGGCGAAATGCTCCAGATCACGCGGGGGCGACATGCTCCAGCCAGGTACGGGCCGAAATGCTCCAGGGGGCGGAAAGCAAACACCAGTCAGAGGCGCAACAATCCCAGGCCAACGAGAGACGAAATGCTCCAGGAGAGCACAGCACGATCGTTTGATCCTTATCCTGGTCCTCCGCCGCTTCCGTGGTTCGTCCCTCTGCCCTGTTCCGCCCTCTCTTCTTGCCTTACTATATCCGTCGCTCCCGCCTTTTCGCCCATCCTTCCTCATCCACGCCAACTCTTTGTTTGGGGGCGTTGCAACCCATTCTGGCCCGAGCCTGCCTCGACGCAGAACTCGCGGCGCAGCTTCCACGCACCCGCGCGGCAGCAATGCCGATGGTGCTCCGCCTCGCCTCCTGGCGCGCCGCCAAGGCGCAACGCCCCTTCCTCGACGAGCCCAACGCCGACATGACGGCGGCGGCGGCTCAGTGGGGCGCGGCGCGCGACCGGGTAAGCTGCGTCGCGCCCCGTTTCAACCCGGAGGACCTCTCCCTGGGGCCTCTGGAACTGTCTCCACTTCTCACTCCGCGAGCGGTCCCACTGGGCCTGCGACAAGCAGGAGCTCGATGCCCAGATGGTCCGCGAGATCGGCGGGGACGTGCGGAGCATGGCCACGGACGCTCCTGCGGCGTGGGCAGCGAGGCTCCTGCAAACAAGAACGATAGCACGCGCACGCACCAAACACTAAACAACAAACATGACAGAAAAAGACGAGCTCACTAAAGCAGCCGTGCTTGATGGAGAAAAAACACATCGTCACCGTCCTCTACGTTTTTTCTGGCCGCGACGTTTTGTATTCCTTCGGCAAAACGGCCAGTGCCGCAACCGACGCGGGCGTCCCCGCCGCCGGAGACCCGAACGAGAGCCACGAACTCAATAAAGCAGCCGCACTTGATGCAAAAAAAGAACATCGTCACTGCCCTTCGTGCGTCTATGGCCGCGAGACTGCGGATTCCTCCGGCAGGAAGGCCACCGCCGCAACCGACGCGCGCATCCCGCAGGGGCCCGAACGAGAGCCAGGAGCCCAACGAAGCAGCCGCGCTCGATGAACACGTCATACATCGTTACCGCCCTCCTTGTTTTCCTGGCCGCGACGCCTTGGATTCCCTCGGCAGAAAGGCCGCCGCCGCAACCGACGCGCGCCCCTCGACCGCCAGAGACCCGAGCGAGAGCCACGATATCAATAAAGCCGCCGTGCTTGACGAACAGAAACACACCGTTGCCGCCTTCCTCGTTTTTCTGGCCGCGATACTTTGGATCCTTTACGCAGAACGGACCACCTCCGTAACGAGACCTGGCAAAGCATGGGTACGTTTGTTTCTTTGGTATGAGAGCCCACAAAACCTTGCCAGGCGTCTGTCTGTGTTTCTTCTTCTTTTTTGACCTGGGACGTCAGGGAACCTGGCCAGGCGCTGGTGTGTCTGTTTTTTCCTGGTTTGGGATTTCAGAGAACCTGGCCAGGCGTTGTTTTTTCTGGTTTTTGCTGGCCTGGGATATCAGAAAACTTGGCCAGGCGTTTTGTTGTTGTTGTTGATTCTCTTGTCTGGGAGCTCAGGAAACCTGGCTAGGCGTTGGTTGTTTCTGGTTTCTCTGGTCTGGGAGCTCACGGAGCCTGGCATTGTGAGTGCGCGACGCGCACCTCATTGCCGCCAGGCCGCCAGACCAAGAAAACAAAACTCTTACAAACCAATGAAATCACAGGTTGCCTGAATTCCCAGACCGGAAAAACACCAAACCTATGAACTCACAGTTTTCCTTCTTCACATACCAGAAAAATCAGAAGAAACAAAAAATGGCATCACATGTCTTCTTTCCTCCCAAACCAGAAAGACAAAACAAACAATTGAAATCACATGTTCTCCTTCTTCCCAGACCAGAACAACCGCAAGAAACATTGGAATCACATGTTGTCCTTCCTCCCACATCTCTGTTCGAATTATTTCCGCTCGGTTGTAGTGGTAGTTCCTTCGCCTTTTGCGCAACGTTGGGCCAGCGAGGAAAGGGCGCGGAAGAGGTGAGGACGAACAGTCAACTTACACGTTCATTTCAGAGTCCATCAAAAGGTGGATATTGATGGGGGGTGCGACCATATATGTATGTATACATATATATATGTATATATATATATATATATGTACACACGCATATATACACATATATATATACACACATTTATATATATATATATATATATATATATATATATATATATATATATATATATATATATATATATATATATCAGAGTAGGCCGGGTTCGGGTCGGGCCGCTGCTTGTACCTCCCATGGGTGCCCCCGGGAGGTTCTGGGGAGGTCCCAGAGCTCCCGAGACGGCCCAGGCCCAGGGCGGATTCAAGAGGCTCCCCAAGAAAGCCCTGGGAGGCAAAATGCATTTATTTTTCAATGGTTTTGGGAGGATTTTAGCGTTTTCGCTTTTCCCGCTTCCCAGCGCTCCCTCACGGCTTCGGAGGCCCTTCAGATCGCTCCAAGACGGCCCACGAGACCCCGAAGAGGGCCCCAAGAAGGGGCCCAGAGCGGGACCACGAACCGATATTTCGAAGTCTCTGGCACTAGAGGCTCCCAGTAGGCCCCCGGAGGCCACCAAGAGGCTCCCACGAAGCCCCGTGAGGTCCCCAAGAGGCCCCCAGAAAGCGCCAATGGGCTCCCACGGACGCCCAAGACGCCCCCCGACAGACCCCAACAAATCATGTCCCCAGAAAGCCTTCCGGGGACATGGTTCATTCCGGAGGTTCCGATGTACCAAAGTGCCATCGCGCTACGGGAGAATTGTCTGGGAAGTTGGCTGGGAACATGATCGCCTTCTCGCGGCCTTCCGCGGATCGTTTCGCACAAAGTTGCCCAAGTGCCCTCTGGAACCGACGACGACAACGAAGACCTCGAAGACGACGAAGCGACGAAGACGAGGACGACGACGATGACGACGACGACGACGACGACGACGACGACGTCGCGCCTCAAGAGGCGACGACGACATTATAACGACTACGGGACGCCACAACAGGCTGCCCAAGACGCCCCCAAAATCCATGTTCCCAGAAGGCCTTCTGGGAACCCGATTCATCAGGCCTCCGCCTCCCTACGCAACCATCTTCCCCGAAAGCCTTCCGGAATTCGGATTGACACGCATGGACTTCGCATTGCCCATAATGCGTTCAGCGATGTGGGCATTTCTTTATTTCCCGTTCAAACCATCTTTGGTCAACTACTTCAGTGGAGCAGTGAACGCGTCAAGGCTTCGGGCCTGCTAGAACCTGAGCGCGCGCGAAGCGCGCTCGATGCTTCTACTAAAGAGACGTGTGTACACACATAAGTATATATACATCTATATATATATATGTGTGTGTGCGCATGTTTATACATATAGAGAGAGGCCTAGTTTTTCCTATTCCTATATTTTTATCGGGTTGGGGATCCCTGAAAAAAAGCGCACCCCACCGCCCCCACCTGATGAATTTTGCCCACCCTGGGCCTTTCGGACAACCTTCCAGACGACCCAGGAGAACCCCACGAAAACCCGAAGACGGCCCCAGAGGGCTCCAGGCGTTCCGGCGCATTCCCGAAACGACCCCAGAGAGTCTCAAGACGGTTTTCGACGACCCCAACAAGGCCGTCATACCCCAAAGATCGTTACCAAACGTTCCAAGAGGCCTCCAAGAGTACTCCCAAGAAGGCCCCAAAAGGCAAAATTCATTGATTCTCTTTGTGGTTGTTGGTCAATTTTGGGGTTCTCCTCCTTTCGGCTTCCCGACGCTCCAAGTCGGCGGTTTTCTTGGCCTCCGAAGCCGCCTGGAAGGCTCGAAAATCGCCCCATAACCATCCGAAAGAGCTTCCAGGCAGTCCAAAAGAGCCCCAAGACGGCACAACAGGGTTCCAAGATGGCTTAAGACAGCCCTATGACGGCCCAAGGTGGCCCCAAGACATCCTCCGAAGTATATTCCAAATCGTAACGTGGTCGTTCAGGGAAACCCGCGGTTGGAGGCAGGGCGGCCCGAGGAAATCCCCACAGGCCCACAGACGACGCCCAGGAGGACCCCAGAAGGCTTGAAGAAAGCTTGGAAAACGTTTTAAGGCCCCCAGAGGCTCTCTAAGGAGGAACCTCCGCAAAAAGAGCTGAGGATGATGGCGGGAATACGCAGGGTACGGCGAGAATGAGGAAAGCAACATAAAGGAAGGACAACGAATAACATTATTATAACGGCGATGTCGGAAAAGGCAACAAAGATTTATCGCTAGATTGTCGGCAGGACCTTCCTGCCATTCCGCTTGCATACCTAACATCAAGGACCAAGGCGCATGGCGCGAAGCGCCAATGTACTCGTGCATATTGTAGTGGCCTTCGGCCAGTTCCGCCGATCCGGATCGCTTGGGGTGCCCCCCCAGACTGGGTGTCGACATTTCGCCGACAGACACGCACGCGCACGCCCGCAGACGTTACGCGCACACACGCACACACACACACACACACACACACACACGCACCCACACACACACACACACACACACTACACGCACCC